AGGCGCGTGTGAGCGCCACCAACAATGGCGACCCTGCTCAGAAGCTTGTCAGCGCTTTGCTGCAAACTGAAAGCTCCATGATCACGGCCCCAGCACCTGCTGTCGGGATCTCTCATTTTGCCGCAGCCACATGTCCGAACACCTTCCCGCTGCATCGTCTCGCATTCTCTGGTGAAGGGATCCTTCTACGCGAGCCGTGCGCGGCTGGGACATCGCGCAGACTGCCGTTGCCTGCGGGCTTGCAACTGCTCTTGCCGCGCGCTACCCTTGTGGTAGGTGATGTGGCTGCTGCAGCGCAGGTGAGAGCAGTGCGCCATCCCGGTCCTCCGAATGCGCTGGCGCTCAGAACCAGCAGGGTTTTGATTTCGGCTTCGGGCTTCATGCAACTCATGTGCCATCTTGGTGCAGGTGCGTGCTTGCTTTACGTGGTGCCGTATGTCCAAAAGTCTGACCTCTTGCGTGTCTGATGGGCTTTGGGCCTGTCTCAGGTCTCTGACTTGCCATCCAGCTTCGAGGCAGAGCTCCAAGAACTGGAAGTCGACAGCAGGTTGGCCATTGTAGACTCTTCCTTGGCCAGTCGCATTTTCAACATAGCTCACGTGCAATCAGCTGAAGAACCATGAAGCCGAAGACTTGTCAGATCCTCTGCGCGTTTCACGATCTAAACCGTGCTTGTAGGCAGAGGTGTGTGCGGGGAAACCCTCATTTCTAAACGAATGGCGATTGCGCAGCGTGTACCCGAAGCCCAAGGTCCAAATCCCAGGGTTTACCCTCTTTGGCAAGAACTGTTTTGGATTCACTCGGCTCACTGGAAGGCGCTGAGTCGGATGATGCATCTGCAAACATGCATAGGATCGAGTTTGCGCGCGTACCAAAAGAAGGTGTCAAGCTTGTGCCTTGAGTCTTCGCATCCTTGGAGGTCGTGCCCTGCCTGACAGGCTTGGGGTGAGAATTATGGAGACAACTTCAATGCGTTCAAGACTCTCAGATGCTGCAGTACAATTTAAAAGGACTCGTTCTGGAATTCACAACAGAGCTCGACTTCCATCTTGACATTTCAGCCCTTGTGAACCAAGGAAAACGCATGAGACCGCCTACAACATCACAGAATTTGATCTCTCCTTGGACAACATGAGCTTCAGATTGGGTGCCATGGCCCTGCAAACTGTACATTTTTTTCGTTCTAGATCATCTCGCTTGCATCTTCCAGCAATCGTCAAGGCGATGAGTGGACACTTGAGGGCTGGCACTACTTCTTGGCTAATGCAGGCGTGATTTGGGCAGCTTGGATTTGGCAAAGACGTAAGAACTGTCTCAGCGCATCTTCGTCTAGTCATGAATGCAGGGCAGGTGACACCGGGATCTTATTACGAACAGCTGCAAGGGTTCAGTTTGGCTTACATGTCTTTTGGGCCCTACCTGACCCCAAACCAGTCGCCTACCGTGTCAACCCCTCCATATACCCATGAGATAGGAGGGTCTAGGGTTTAGGGTTCAGGCGGATGTGCAGAGCTTCACGGAGCATTTGCCAAGGACACGCGTACTCGCCTCGGTAACACGACGATGTCGGGGCTTGCAGTCTCCTCGGCTAGACTTGGTAGTTTTCCTGAAGAGGGGGACTCCAATATAGACCCAAATATATTGAAATCCCTTGTTCTGAGACCCCCAAAAAGATGATTACCTCTAATTTTTAAAAGAACCCTACGCCCTCCACTTCTTGTGATCGTGTTGTGCTGGGTTCTCCCCTCCTATGGTTCCTGTGCCGTGTTGGTGGTCATCCCCTTCCCCTGTGGTCCCTCTAGTTCTTGTGGTCCTGTCCCTGTGGTTCTGGTGGTCTATCACGGGGATGGGGGTATTCGTAGATGATCCTGCTACAGATCCCATTCTACTGAAAACTGTTGCCTGAATTCGACAATTGATGTTGGCCACAAGTTTATTTGGAGGTTCCTGGGATGTAGTGCCAGCTTGCGATGGCTAGCCCAGGTATAAACAGCACGAAGGTCGAAGAGTGACGACGGTTACAAGGATTCGAACCCAGGAGGGCCATTCCCTGTGACTGTTGGCCCTGTTCAGACGCCAAGACCACACGGAGGCCCAAAAGTGATGACAGTTACAAGGATCGCGACATTAGTGGGCCCCATCCCCGTAACTGTTGGGACCTTTGAAACGCGACGAAAGCACGAGGAGCTAAAAAGTGACGACAATTACAAAGATATCAGCTTTGAGGCATCAACAACAATGACAGTTACGAGGATCGCGACCCCGAGAGGCCCCATGTAACTGTTAGCACTTTTGAGAGGTTTGGGCTGGGGAGGGGGGGGACCATACTATGGGGGAGGGGAGGATCCCCAGGACCGGGAACAACATATCCCGATATGCTCCCTACATATCCTTATCCAACCCCTATAGCCCCTCTAAATGATACCCCTAATTTTGGGAAAGCCCAACTTGCGTCCACCTCGCGTGTGCAGAAGATGACCCTGCATGTGTCAGAACTTACCAGTTCTTGGTAGAGAATAAGGGAACATGTTATATAGAGATTTCACAATATATAGGGATCATATGACTTCTATGGATTGTATTCCCACATTCCCTACTAAGTACAGGCAAGAGAATGAGAACATGACCACACAGACCCCCATGCAAGATTTCATATTTTCCTGTTATTGCAAAAAGGAATCAGAAGGAGGCAGTCTTTCGCTAAGGTAGTTCTTTCCAACAACGGGTCAATCGCTTTGATGGTGCAGCCGCGTGGAGGCGCACTCGACTCTCCGCCTTCACCCAACGCCGTACAGCTTTAGGGAATAAGGGAATACATTATAGAGGCATTATGTAGTGATTATATTCCCAACTCACCCTCAGCACGTTTTTCGATAATTCTGGTGAGCTTGCACCTGTTTAGGCGCGCCCTTCGCGTACTCCTGCCCGAATCCCGTGCCTTTGGCAGAGTTGGTTAAAAGATGATTCAGGGTTCCCATCCTAGGAAGTCTGCGATCTTTTAATGGTTGGTTGCTGGATAGTACTGGTGATTTTACTTGGGCTTGTAACAGGCCCCACTCTAGGGAGTTTGGGCATTTCTCAAAAATTCGGTCTTCAGGTGCGCCCCCACAATGCTGTAATCCTACTGTTCAGAAGCAAAGTTCAAAACGCCCTTGTCATTCAGGCAACCTCCCAAATGTATCAAAATTAGAGACCCCTCCAGGCCGGCATAATGCTGCACTCCCCATGGTAAGGACTTCCAAAAAAGGATCCACGATGTGGAGGACCTCCCGCTGAAACAAGAATGTATGTCCCCATAGCCACAAACCCTTACAAGTGTAGAGGCCTGAACATCTTGAAGTACTATAGTCTAAACTCATGAAAGGGAGTTGTATAGGGGATAATATGGGGGACTACTCTAGGGGTTATCAAGAGGGATACTAGGAGTTTAGACTACAGCTCATATGCCCAGGTTCCTCTGAAGACATGGGTGCACGTTGCCTGCCAACGCCGGGGATCCTTCTTGGACTTTGTTTTGAGCCTCGCTCGGACTTTGCGCGTCATGGTGGGTTGAGGGTCAATTACTATCATCACATGAATATCCAGTATGAATATAGTAGGACGGTTACTATTACACAGTATATTTTAAGGGACACAGGGTTTTGGCGTCCCGATTTTCTTATGCTCGCAGCGAGCATCCTATCCTTTTGGGTCTGCAGTTGAGGGCTCTCATCGTTGTTATGGTTGCGATGAGGTGTTCGGGTAGTATGAAGTTGACGATCGCTGTTTCAGAGTTGAATTCGAGCGTGTCGTTCTCTGTGCAGTAATCTGGCTGTGTTGTGGCGCGCATATTACTGTACATCTCTGGTTACAGCATCTTTTGCAAGCACAAATTGCATGTTCAAGACTTCAAGTTGAAGCTGCTCCGTTTGTGTTTTCTGGAGGCAACCTTCAGCAGGTTGAAATATCACCTGAGGCGTAGCACGTATGCTCCGAGAGGTTGTAGCTCATCTCAGCCGATTCTACGGATCGTTCAGGATTTGATTGCAAGGCATACTTGCAAGGGCAAGGTACAAGCAACCAGGTTAGAAGTCGACGCACTTGCAACATGACCTTTGTGTATTCAATTGAGAATCTACATACCCAGTGCCCTGTTCTTCCAAAGGGTACGGAATTTCAGCTGCACTATGAGGAACGGCACCCAAGTCTGTACCATGCCGACACCGGCCGAGCTGGACAATCTGGAACCACAGACTATGGTGAGGATCGGCCGTCCCTCGTTTCGGAGTTTAAGGCTACTTTGACGCGATGAGGTAAATGGTATGCGTTTGGTAACGGACTTCTTTTGTTATTGTATGGAGGTTTCGTCCGTCAGGTTTTAGAAATAATTGCTTGCGACTACACTGTCCATGACTCCGATGGTTCAGGAGTGTAGACAGCCACTCAAAGTGATCCTCTGCATTCTGTGTCATGTAAGTTACGCCATGATGACGAAACGGGCCAATTCTCAGCTGGTTTATTTGTTTTCCAGGATGCTGGGCTCTCAACTTCCTGTGGCCCTAGCAGGAGATATCAGGCTTTGCCTCTTCTCAATCACGTTGGTAAGAACCGGGAGGGACGAGAAAACATGGCATTGGTTGCAGCTGTGTTGGCAACCAGTTGCGACAGCAGCCGGTCAAAGTCGAAGTCCTCCCGTTGTACACAACTATGGACCGGAGACAAAAGACAGTCCGGAATCCTGGTACTGGAAAGATTGACCAGAACTTGGCAAACATCAGTGCACAAACAAGCTGAGTTCTACGTCTCCAGTGATCATGCAATCATGGATGACATTCACAATGGTTCCATGGCGTTGCGCCTCACTCAAGGTGCAGCAACCAACGATACGGATTCCAGCCTGCATGCCCTCATCTCGAACATGCGGCTGTCGACCAAAGCTTTCTACGATAAGCTGCTCAGAGTGATCTTCAAGGACGCTTTTAAAGAGATTCTACGGGGATAATCCTTGGATTTTAAAGGGCCTTCACCAAGAATTCTGGCGAGGCAACAAATCTTGCAGGAATCCTTGCAGCCGTCAATCACGTGCAACATGAAAGATGTTGTCCTAAGGATTCGGATGAGGGCTTAGAGAATTTCTCCCCGTGAATTGACGCACAGTTCCATGCAGTATCCCATTACTTATCGGGAATGCTTCATCGTACCATGGGGCGAGGGGGTTTTGTCAGTAGTGGGTCACTGCATATGGCAGAGAAGCATGGAAAACATGGACAGTCTTGCTGTCTATGCCCATGCTGTGCAAAATCAAGAGGTGTGACTAGATGATTACCAATTGCAGTTAGATGTTGTAACCTAAGCTAAAGCACGGGCCATCCTTTTTGGGAGACTTTGTGATAGCATTTTACAATGGGCCCTATAAAGCTGTAGTAAGATTTATCTCCGCCCGACTCTTCTTGTCATTGGCCCGTCCATCAAGTTGCCAATAAGGGACCTCTCACAGCACACCCTTGGGAAGACAGGGCCAAGGGGTTTTAGGGTTTAGGGTTAAGGGTTTGGGCAGAGAGGGTCAGCATGGTTGGCGTGGTCAGGAGTCATAGATGAGACTAAACTCCTTAAAGGGGATTATATAGGGGACCACAAAAGGGGTTAGCAAGGGGGGTGCTCAAGAAAAGGCCACATGGCACTTCCTACAAATATGACTGGAAGAGCAAACCCCAGTGACAGGGTGACTTTCGGCATGTGCATCGTAGGGCAGTCGTGTGCGAGTCCGGGTAGGAGAAGACGAATACATCCAAGGTCGACTTCTGAACCACCACGACATTTGGATCTGCACCCAAAAACGCAGTTTCTTCTCCACGGAGGTGGGAGTCTCTCAAAATTCCGGGTACTGCTTCCAGGCCTTACAGCGGAAACCGCAGTGTTTTGTGCGCACTGATCGTTTTTGAGGAAGGCTCGCTGACCTCAGATGGGTCTGCATAAACGAACGGGCCCAAGTACTGGAACAATTGGGGTTGCTTTTTAAAGGGTTATACAGTATACAGGTAGTCGATTGGGCTTTGCAGGAGTCTGTGCAAAAACCGTCGACATGCGGGCCCCGCTTTTCAGCCTTGCGTTTTGCAAGCTGTTGTAGCACTTGCAGCGTAAAACGCCTGCGCAGCACGTAGTTTTTAAAGCATTACGTAGCACAGGCTCACCTGTATGACAACTGAAAATACGGGTTCTCAGACAAATGTTGCAGGGGCCCAACAAATTTCAATACAGGTTTAAGGTACATTCTGTCTTGCTTGCAGGCTGGTAGTGGGAGAACATCTCTATTTCTTTGGGCTGCTACATCAGACTTGAGCACAGCCTGGATTCCTGCGAGGATATTTGGAGCAAGTGAGCATGCGCCCTCTTCTCATCTCAGGACACGATGGGTTGCAGACACGGCCTATGCAGATATGCAAATAAGTAGACTCAGGTTGGCCGCTGTCACACCCCGAGCCTTCGCCACGTAGTCGTCCGTGAAGCAATGATGATTAGCAAGATTAAACATTACAAGTGGCATGTATGAGTGACTTTGAAGTACGACCGGCTACTACAGTAAGCTATCACAAATCAAATCCTTGTTTCATGAGTGAGGGGGTTGTCCCTGGCAAGTCCGTGTGTAAGGCTTCCTCTGCAGCAATCTCCATGCGTTCCCATCCGAATTCACATTCTCATATGAAATTCTCCATCATCCTTTCCGAAGCTTCAGCAACTCTTGGGTTTTCCCGTAGCTTCCGGCGGATGGTTGTAGCTTTGTCTGTTCTCCGTGGAGGCATTGATTGTCCTTTGCATGTACCCCCAAGAACAAAGTTGGTAGATTGAATTGTATGGAGGGACATATTCGTTATTCGGAGGTGGGAGTGCGGATTGTTCGGGGAGTGGTTATACGCAACAGGGACCCTAGTTAAAATGACCAATGCTGAGACATGACCTACACCGGGGCACCAACCTAGAGCATTTTGCCCAACATGGCATTCCGAATATTTACGAAGGGTAATCCCTTTGGACCCTTTATAACCCCTGTATGAAAATGGAAAGACTCTTGAAATCAAGGCCCCCTATGCTGCACATTGTTAGTCTGCCAAGCTCCAGGACATGGCTTGATGGAGGGTGTGGTGAACCATGGAGGGCCCACAAGGAAGCATCTTCGCTTGAACATTGAAGTGCGTGTTGAAGTTACATGACGCAATGATCCTGCGGCACTCTTTCTAGTCCTCTCGATCCTGATAATGATGTAATGTCATGGGCGTTTGCTGGCAATTGGACTCTGTAGATGTAGGTTGCAACACTGCCGAAGAATGCTCAGAGCCAAGTCTCTACACAGAATCCAACATACATGTTAAGAACTGTCCCGACGCCCCGACAGCTGCCACCCTATTCAAGTCGTACAGATTTTTTCCCGTGGTACTTGACTCCGACTCTATGTGGTGACTCTTCTGTGGCTGACCCAACAGCTCAGGCTCAAGCATCCTCCAATGCGCGGGCTTCAGCTGAACGTTTTCCCTGACCAGGACGCACGCCACACATACTGGGTTTAGGGTTCACAGTTGGTCAAGATTATTTGAATAGTGGGTGCCCATTTTCGGTCAGAAATTAGTTTTTTTTGCCAGGTGTTTGTAGGGAATGGGGTGCTGGTAGCATGACAGGTTTTGTCTTACTACGACAGTTTTTTTCTCACAGTGACAAGGATTTATTGT